CTTTCTAAAATTATGTTGGTGTCACTTTCTAAAATTATGTTGGTGGTTAATCTAACTTGTAAAGCCTTCTGATCGTCTCCTGAAGGCTTAACTAATGAGGAAGCTCACTCGGTTATCCTGATTGTATGGTTTTGAACTCCTTTGTTTCTAATAAAAAGTTGATAGTGAAGAGTATTACTACAATACACACACACAAACACACACACACACACACACATTATCTAAGCTGCTTATCCTCCTGGGTCGCCAGGGGTGCTGGAGCCTATCCCAAGGGTCAAGATGGCAGGAAACTCCCTGGACAGGTCGCCAGTCCATCACAATACCGTACATGTAGAGTTTAAATACAAGCATGATGATTCAATGAAGTAAAAAGTAAACTAAAAAATTGCAGACATGTATTTTTTAGCATCCAGTAATCATTAGGCCTTTTCTAAATGTCTAAAAATCGCTAAGCGTTCCACTGTACTACATAATGTAAACTGTTCAGTGTTGGAACATTTTTGTTTACCACAGGGGTAATTTTCAAAAAGAGCATCAATTTTTATCTCATTGGTAAAACCAGTATAGGAGTTCCTTAAAAAACATATAGATAATTACAAAATTACAAAGCACCACAGAGGTCTATTGTGTACAATTTGTTTTCCCCATCTTTGGTCATGTGCACCAGCATTAGCTGGCCTCCCACAGGGGCGCGAGCAGAAATGAGCTCTATCATAGACGTGTCTTTTGTCTTGTTTTTATCCTGAGTTTTTGGGCTGAACTAAAAAAACTAGCTCTAATTCTCTGGGTTCACCACTAATATGTAGCAATGCTCCTATCTCACTATTTAGCAATGCAATTCAAATGACACAGTGATATTTGTGGAAAAACGTATGTAGGATAAAATCTATCAGTGTTAGAATTTGTCGGTTAACCACAGAACGTGATGGAGGTGAACTGTGAAAAATGCCACTCATTTTTCCCATAGCTAAAAATGGCTTGTTCGGCTGCTAATGGCTAACTATAAAACAAAGACATCCTCAGAGATCTACAGCATTTCTTCTGCTTTTCTCCTGGTTGAAAAAAATAAAAAGATCAAAACCACTTGCATTAGACCTCTATGGCACACAAACCAAATGCACGGCACTGACTTAATCCAGAAACACTGGAATACTGACCAATGACAATTTCTGGTCTTAGCTCAGTTCCCAAACTTGCTCACTCAACTTGCCATATAAAAGCACTTTGCAGATGGATTTCAGTTCTATGGATTTTCTCAAGTCCTCTGAAACCTTTCCTGAGCAAAGGTCACATTCTAAGCTTTACTGGAACTGTAGTGTTAAAGCTGTGATTAAAAGGGCTCCACTGCTTATGATAATGAGTCCTAACCCCCATCTGCAGACATTAGACAGTAATATACAAATTGCGTAATCAGAGAGATGAAGAGTGAGTAAAAATGAAAAAAAAAATAGAATTTTTCTTCCGCAGTTCTTCTTGTTTTGCACCATCTGGGGCGTGTGCCTCTCGATCTCCTCCTAAAACCTCTTTTGTATCAGTACGTAATGAGCGAGCTATGCTCCTCTACAGTCCTGCTCCCTCCCTCTCCCTTGTCTTTGTTCATAATTGCATAATCAGAGGGAATTCTGAGCGGGGCCAATCTGGTTCATTACGCGGTGCCTTCCGGCCCAATCGATCTCCGCACTATAAATAGCGCCAACCATAATGCTCTTAACACATCGGAGGGGCGTATGGAACTGCATTGTTTAATCTTTGAGTTCAGCTTCACATTAAATATGATAAAGAGGAAAGTAAAACTACAACAGAACACCGTTTCATTAGCTGACTGTATCGCTTCTTCTGGAAGAACACTATCAACGCTGGTCCCCTTTTGGGATGAGCCTACTAGATTAGAAGCAAATCCCTATATGTTTTCACACTGTATACACACCAGAAATTCAAGGAATTCATTCTATAGTATGAGTATATAGGATGATATTAAGGGAAACAATAGCCACACGACCACCATGCAAAATGGCTCGCCACAGTTTTTATAGAGTGTATCTGTTCATGGCTGTATATCATCACTGCCTTATCATGTCTTGTAAAGGACAGCCGTTCTTTTCTTTTTCTGTACATTTCATGACAAACTAACCAATAAAAATGGTCCAAAATGATATGGAATAAAATCCAGGTACAATAAAGTACATTCAAACTATGAACGTTTTTCTGTCCTTCTCTTTTTTTAGAGATAAGGGGACTTGGAGTTTTACGACTGCAATGATGTGTTCCACAAGCTGAAGGTTAGTAAAGGAGGATAAAGCTGAGGAACGCTTCTCTCTCTGAGGAGCTGCTGAATAGCTTCACAGTGGCTTCAGCAGAGATGAACGGGCACAGACTTCACAGAAGGAGCAGCACTGTGCACCATCTAATTAGTGTTTGATGAATTTCAGCCAGATGGCTTCGTCTCATTTCCACATTTTACCTGTCTGAACACATATGCATGTAGAGAGAGAGACAGACCGACAGACAGACAGACAGACAGAAAGAGATAGATAGAAGAGAGAGACAGAGAAAGAGATGAAGACACAGGGGGAGAGACATAGAGAGAGAGGGAGAGAGCAAAAGAGACAGAGGCAAAAAGAGAGATATAGAGAGCAAAGGACAGAAGAGAAAGAGAGACAGACAGAGAAAGGGAAAGAAAGAGAGAGACAAAGAGAGGGGATGTAGTTGGAGGATCAACAGCGTGAGCGTGACTGAGTCAGTGTGTGTGTGTGTGTGTGTGTGTGTGTGTGTGTGTGTGAGACAGACTGCTTGAAGTGCTTCGTGTGTGTAGAGAAAAGGAGCGGGAGAGAGGTAAAATAAAGAGAGAGGTAGAGAGAGAGAGATGTAGAGAGAGAGAGATGGAGAGGTAGAGAGGTAAAGAGAAATGGAGAGAGAGATGTAGAGGGGTAGAGAGAGGTATAGAGATGTAGAGAGAGGTAGAGAGAGACAGAACTATGTATCGAGAGACAGAGATGTAGAAAGGTAGAGAAATGTTGAGACGGGGTAGAGAGATACAGAGAGATGTAGAGAGAGTAGAGAGAGAGGTAAATAAAAGTAGGGAAAGAAGTAGAGAGAGATAGAGAAATGTAGAAAGAGAGGCAGAGGGGGCTAGAAAGAAGGAGAGAGGCTGAGAGATGTACAGAGACTCAGAGAGGTAGAGAGAGCAAAGGAGAGGGACAGAGAGAGGGAAAGAGAGGTAAAGAGAAAGAGATATAAAGAGAGGTAGAGAATGAAGGAGAGGTAGAGAGAAACAGAAATATAGAGAGATGAACAGACAAAGAGAGAGACAGAGAGAGGGAGAGTGATAGAGGGACATAGAGAGAAATATAGAAAGGGTAGAAAGAGGTAAGAGCGATAGAGGGAGGTAGAAAAATAAAGACAGAGAGATGTAGAAAAGGAGAGGTAGAGAGATAGAGAGGGGTAGAGAGAGCCAGTGAGATGTAGCGAGAGATAGAGAGGGACAGAGGGGCAGAGAAAGAGGTAAAGAGGTAGTACCCCTTGTTTTCGAGGGTCACGTTGCCCCTTGAAACTGAGTTACAGGGTAGTGGTAGGGGCAAGGGGTGAAATGGGAATTGGCTGTAGAGAGATGTACTGATGCAGAGAGAGGTAGAGCGAGAGAGAGGAAGACAGAAAGACAGCAGTAGTGATGTAGAGAAAGACAGAGCGAGGTGGAGGTAGATAGCGAGAAAGAGAGAGGCGGTGATGTAGAGAGATACAGAGAGAGGTAGAGATGTAGAGAGAGGTAAAGAGAGGTGGGTGGAATTTAAAGGAGGGTGAATGCTGAGCTATTTCTGTGCGCTGAGAGCGGCTGACAGATTTGGAGTCTGCGTGGGCTCAGACACAGACTCTCATTCATAAAGCCCCTGCATCTCTCCCATCACAGAGGACCACAGGTCACAGCCAGGCTTTTTTCTGCTCTGCTTGACCCACATGGATCAGACCTTAATATAGACTGTTCAGAGGACTCTTTAGAAGCCAGATGAGTGGATTTACTGTAAAAGAAGCTCAAGCTTTCACTGGAGTAAGCTGCATTTTGTTGGAAAATAATTTGTGGAATCAAAACGTTGTCCAAAATGCAGGCTCTACACTTTAAAGGAACACTCCAGCATTTTTCAACCTACTTTCTATCAGCCACATCTTTGACATATAATTAATTAGAATGGACAATAATTTCAGAGCATTTTGCATACACAGAAAAAATTTTTTTTGACTGAAAAATCACTTACAATAGAAGCCAGTGGGCTTTTGCTTTAAATCAACCAGTATATATGCAACAGATAGAGGTTAAGTTAAAAAATGTAGGGTTGTGCCTTTAAGGCAGGGATGCCCAAACTTTTTGTCTTGGGCATATACAAATAAAGAAGGCAGGTAGGTTTTGCATGGAGTTGTAGATGCAAAGAACCTCATGAAACGGGCTTATAACACACTCATTCACTCACATTTAGCAGCAAAATATTCTCCACAAGGGGGCATCGTTAGCCCCAAATAAAGCTTTTGAAGCTTCATAACAGCAGTTCTCTCATTGGGTAGGGGGGCAGGGTTAGGGGAACTTTCTGATAGGCCAAATCAAACGGCTCCACAGGTCAACTTTGGCTGGCGGGCTTCACTTCAGGCAATCCTGCTTTATCAATTTAAAATGTCAATACTTCAGGATGGCCAAAGAAGTGGTTGGGAAATGTTGAGCTATAAAGTTTGACTCATTTATCTGGCTTTGAGCACCAGGCTTATAGATCCACTGATTAAAGTCCACAGCTGATTAGTGATCAGTGATCACTGAGCAAACATCCACTGATTCAATTACATACATCACTGATCTTAGGATTAACTCTCATCAAGCAAACTCACATGAACATTGCCCACAACAGCATGAATGACAAATCCAACACAAGGCAGAAAGTTTGAATCTCTTTTTGATAAAATAATTATGCTATAATGCAAAGAACATCAGTGACGGCAATCAGAGAGATAAACTATCGTACCTGCTTTCCCTCCAGGGTGTAAATTCTCTTGACAATGCCCGAGTCGAGCTTTATGGCGTCCGTGATGTCGGTGAGGACCTGCTCGAAGGAGTGCGCCGTCTTCTTGTTGAGCAGGATGCGCACGGCCTTGCGCGGCTTCACCCCGCTGCGTACGATGGTGACCAGCTTGGGCCTGATGAAGTCTTTGTTCTCTCTGGCTTCGTTGGGCCCTGTTTTGGAGCTGGACAGTGACGGAGGGCATCTGGAGCTCACCGAGGCCTTCACATTCACAGACCAGTTGGGGTTAACGTTCTTCGTATAGTCGAGCTTTTTGAAGGCCTCGATAGATCCACACACATAACTCTCTCCTGGAGTAGAAAGACAAATGACATGGACAACAGATTAGGACTGTCGCTATTGACTGGACTCACTTTTAAGAAGAAAAATAATAAAAGCAAAACTTATTAGAACAACAAACCATGAACAGAATTTCAGAATTTTCATATCTTTTACAAATATCATTTAAAGGGTCCATATCCTACATTTTGTCTTATATATTTTCCCCTTCCGGTCCAAATATGAGGTTTGAGTGGTTTTACGTACCAAAAACATTAATAACATCGTAATATTCGCTAATTCATTTTTACATGACTATTTTTGAGGCTTAGTTTCCATTTACAGACAATATGGACTAGGGAGTGAATAAAGCATTTTAAACCATGAATAATGTTTACATCCCACATCAAACTCAAAAAAGCGTGGAAAATCAGGGTTTCTATGATATGGGCCCTTTAAAAATATCAACAAACACTATGTGGACACATATCGCTGCTGTCGGGACAAAACCTCGTATCTCCATTTTTGGTGTTTTTCAGCTTTTGATATAATTTGAAAATGTCTGCTGCCCTTGACATTGTGTATAAATTTCATGAAGAATGGACTAAAACAAATGGCCAAAAATGACTTGGAAAAAAGTCTGGTTCCCTTTACTTACACTGAAAGTAAAGAAGGTTTTTTCCTTCTCCTGTAAAATTACCATTTTGGAGATACGAGGTTTTGTTTTGTCAACAGCGATATGCATTATTCACTGCTAATTCCTCATGAAGGAACAATTTAACCAATGATTTTTTAAATTGAGTAAGGGAGTTTATTTTGTTTGCGTATGGAGAAATCAGAACAGTCCTCCAATATGATATGAAAGCTTTATGGCAGAGCAGTGATTGCATAACAGTGCGAGCACATACTTCAAAAGGGGTTTCTAAGGGAAAGCACCACAGGCAATACGCTCAAGCAAAGTCATTAAACACTCCACCGGGACCAACTGATTGATGTCTCTGTTGAAATGCATTGATTTGTCCCACGCATTTCAACAATGTCAGAATTTGGTGAGTCTGTAAATCAGGAGCCTGAGAATCTGTTGTAATCATATGTAGCTTAACCCCTTAAATGGCCCAGACCCACAGCCGGCCCAAAGTTTTATTACACACTTTTACGACTTAAGAATAGCTCAGCCAGTTTGCATCAAATAACTAGCCTTAGTATGTAATAATCCTGAGGTTTTAAGGGGTTAATGCATGTAACGTTGCTCAGTCACATTGGAAATTACATTGCACTTAGTACATTACTAGACAGGCCTATCCCAATTGCTGTGTAACTGAAATGACTCTGTGTTAAATGGTTGAGAATGAGTGCCAGTATTCCAGCATCTATCTCTGTTGCTGTAGTCGTGATAGTGGACTATGCTGGGCTAGAGGTCAGTGCATTGTTTCTAATCAGTATGAAAAGCTCTTCTGCTGAGTGAGAACCTGCAAAGTACATGAAGACACAAGCACAAAATATTGATGTTTTCACTCTGACAACATTAAGTCACTTCAGTTCTCACCCTCCACCAGCTGTTCGATGCTGGTGATCTTCTTGTTTCCATCAATGGTGTAGATGGTCCGGACCCCTTGGGGCAGGTTCACGTTGTCGGCCAGCGTGCGCGTGAGGTCAGCCAGCAGGGCGTCGAACGACCTGAACCTGTCGGTGGACACGGCGTACACGATGCCATGGAAGTAGCGGTCACCGTTGCGGTAGAAGCGCACCTTCTTGGCCCTCTTCTCTGAGCTCAGGGCCCTGAGGGTCCGTGTCCGGTACAGGCTGCAGTGGGCGCTGTGGGTGGGACTGGGCAGCCCATTCGCCCGCGAGCTGCCACGGCCTTTCCGCTCAGCTTTGTCCCTCTCGTCGAAATGCTCCTCCATTTCTTGCCGAAGGTGAGAGAGCCAAGTGCTAAACTGTAATGAAGACATACAGGAATTGCTTGAACTGGGTAAGATTACGAGGATCTGCTCCTGATTAAGACTGATAAAGATACACTGATAATAAGTCAAAGTGAATCGGAAGTAATAATGCATTTTCCTTCTGGGCTGTTTGTGTTTCCAAGTAAAACATGGTATCGGTCAGGGTCTCTGAGCTAGCTGAGGGTTGTTGTTCAGCGAAAGGCGAGAGAGGAGGAGAGGGAGAAGAAACACGATATTATTTGTTATTTGTTATTATTATTTTTCCCCCCCACTAGTGCAGAGTGACATAACCAGAACTCCGAGGATGTTTTAGACGTAGGTAAAAGCTATTACACTTCCAGCAAAGATTACAACAAGAATACAAGAATTTTGTCTTTTCAATGGTTTGGCATTAGGGATGAACGATTAATCGGATTTATATCGAAATCGCAATTTTGAAGAGCTGCAATTTTTATCATAGTCTTATAGTTTTTTTTCAACTACACTTTTAAAAAAGATGGTTATTCAAGGGTTCTTTAGTAAAGAAAATGGTTCTATATAAAACCGTGAACCCCTCAAAGAACGCTTTGCATGATTAAATGGTTCCTCAGACTGATGGAGAATGTGCTGTAGATGATTCTATATAGAACATTTTTGAAAAGGGTTCTATACAGCACCCAAAAGGGTTCTTCTATTGTTATAGTGTCAAGCTAGTAACAGTAGCAGAACCCTTCTGGGTGCTATACAGAACCATATACAACACATTTTCCTTCAATCAGAAGAACCGTTTCACAATGCAAAAAAACATTTAATCAGGCCAAGGGTTTCTTGAGGGGTTCATAGTTCCATTTTCCTTACAAAGAACCCTTAAAGAACCGTCTTTTTGGAGCGTGAATGTTGATACGTTGTGAGGTTTAAGTAGGGAAATTTAACCTAATCACACGGAGCTCTTGAACTGCTTTTAGATGACTTTAATGAATCAGAAACAACCAAACAACCGTGTGCTGTGACATCACAACCGCAAATAACTGGGAGGCTGGTGCTCCGTGTTAAGAGTTCAAGCCTCAAGCCAGAAACGTATACGCTGGTCTTATTACTCAAAAAAAGACTCAGACATCAGTTTATAGAAAACATTCGCAATTTAAACCATAATTGCAATATTGGACAGAAAAATCACAATTAGATATTTCGCCAAAATCGCTCAGCCCTATTTGGTATGATGAATAATATGGCCAGGAACATCAGCTAACAAAGTAAAAAGGTCAGTTTTGATTTCAGGTTGACTTTAAAGAGAGGCTACATTTGTAAAGACTGCTTAAGCTACAAGATTATTTAGGTTCCATGTGTAAAGGCTACTTAGGCAGCATTTAAAGAGAAAAACAGGTTACCTTTAGAGGGACAGGCTACTTTTGTAAAGACTTCTTGAGTTCTATTCATGAGCACAGCTTAAGCTCCATTTGCAAAGGCTGTTTTGTGGAGCTGTTTCAGGGCTGAATTTGTTGAAAGTGGGTTCATTTATAAAAACAAACTCCATTTCCACAAATTCCAGGCAAGGTTTGTAAAAAGATAAACCAGCTTAGACTACATTTTTAAATCTGCGTAGGTTTCAAAGCTCTCAGCTTTGGTGACAGTGTCAATGCTACGAGTTCCATACTGACTTTAGCCCTCATACAGCATCTGATATGAAGTACACAACGCCATTCTCTGTGGTCTGTACGTTAACATTAGCTAAACATTTCGACCATGTACTGTCATACAGCTAGCTTCCTCTCAGAACTCTGCTAGACTGTGAATTTAAGGACACTAGCAGAGTTTGGAGAGGAGGCTACAGCTACTCCTGCTGTATCATCCCGAGACACTGTAGCTATGATCAGTTACGACGTCAGAAAACTAATATCCACAATGACTAAACCAGACAATTCAGGAAACACATAAATATACATTACAGACTGTCCTACTGACTGCAGCTTCAACTCTCTCCATGGCAGGTAATTCAGACAGACAGAATGAGGGGATTTACTCACTGAAACAGTGACGAGAGGCTCAAAGAATTTCAGAGTTTCTTCTGGGCTGCCGAAATGTGAGTCGTGATCCTGGCCGGTATGAATCGTGTGTTCTCCTCTTTGTTGTCCTCCCTCACTCTCTCTCTCTCTCTCTCTCTCTCCTCCTGCGCTGCTGCTGGGAGAGTGAGGAGGTTGCTGCTGGATCCTCCGCGTCGTGTCCTCATTTGCATTCGCCCCTCCCTTATTCAATTACGCAGTACGCACGCCCCCGCGCGGGACTGACGGGTTTTCCTGCTCGTATTCTGACAAGCCCCGCCCACTGTGCTGGGATTGGCCAGTAGTTTCGAAATGAAATAGAAAAAAATCATAAAAAATAAAACAGAATGTAACCTAACGAGCACAAGTAAACCTAGAGGTGGGTAATCCAGGTCCAAGAAGTAAAAAAACCCTCCCCAGGATTTTGTTCCAACTGCTTGACTTCTCTAATTTGCTCCAACCAGCAGCAAAGGTGTTGAGGCAGTTGGAACAAAATCCTGGGGAGGGTTTTTACTTTTTGGACCTGGATTACCGACCTCGATACTCTTAACAGAAGCTGAGAAACACACAGCGGCGCTCTCACAGACAGACAACCAGGCTAACCAATCCCAGCGGAGGGGCGGGGCTCGTCTGAATACGAGTGGGATCTCCCCACATACACCTCGTCTGTCGTGCCTCCTCTCACTCACACGGCCCACCTGGAAAGCGGAGGGAAAGAGCATGAAGCAGATTATTCAGATGTAGAGCCTAGAAACATCACACCGGACCGAATATGAACAGAATATGACTGTAAGGAATCATAAAGACAGCAACATCTTCCAGCTGATCAGCTTCTTTTTTTAACAAGGCCAATTCTTAAAGGGGAACTCCACCGATTTTGTAAAATTACTTAATCAATCGGTGGTTTAGATGTGGGCAAAATCATTCAGAGTGGGTCGGGGTGAAATGCGCCTTTATCAAGTCAAAATTGTTCACCATTATAGTGCTGGGAACCAGATGTCTGAAGCATTGAATGGGTCCCGCTAAGTTATTACAGAATTGATTATTGATTGATACCTGAGACATTGTTTTGTGATAGTTTTGTTATAAAGTTTTGGCCTAAAACGTATTTTTAGTATAAAATATTACTCCAGGATCACTTCTGTGTTTCCTGTCAAAACCACATTCTCAGCTGAGATCAATGCGCGCGAGTGAACGTGCTTTTGTAGTTACTAGCTACAGCTGTTCAACACGGCTAACACCGGTGTTGTATCCGATTCAGTTCCCCCTCAAATTCACGCTCTGTTTGACAAATCAGATCCTTGGAGACGTGTTTACTGAACAGATAATAATGCCAAGCAACGCTGGAACTACGGAAAGTGAGAATGTTAAAAAAAAGGTTTGTACGGCAGCTGCAGTCACCCAATCAGCGACAAACAGTACAAACAGTATTTATCAGTATGATTGTTTACTGTGTATTTGAACTGAAAATAATATTTATCACGGAATCTCAATTGTGCTGCATTATCTTGGGTGAATTTATATTGGGGGATGGGTGAAAACACATAGTTCCACTGTAGACGTTGTTCAGTGAATGCAGCGCCCGAGGTCCCTTGTCAAAGGGAACGTGAATTTGAAGGGGAACTGAATCGGATACAGCACCGGCACCGAAGTAGAAGAACCCAGAGCGAATGGAAATTGACGGTGTCAACAACAAACTACTTGCTACTCTGCTCTGGGTAGGACAGCGAGGTGAACTGTAATCTATCGCAGCTCCTCTGATGAATAATGTTACTCACATAAGCTCTGAGTTCTGCTGACCATGTGACACAGCGCCGCCAAGCCAAACAACACAAATGTGCAGGGTGGAGAGACACATGCAGGGCGTTATAAGGAAAAAATAGTACCCAAAAATTTTATTTTTTCGAATTTAGCACTATTTTACCATTATCAGCGGGACATATAAAACCTTATAAGACACACAGTTCACTGGTCATTTTTTAATAATAGATAAAATGGTGATATTTGTAGTGTAGATATACGGACGTCTGGTTCCTAGAACTACAATAGTGAACAATTCTGACTCTGCATATTTCTTTAGAAAGGCGCATTTCAAACCAAACCACTCTGAATGATTTTGTTTACATCTAAGCAGTTGAATGATGAAGTAATTTTTGCAAAATCGGTGGAGTTCCCCTTTAATTCCTCATCATTCCCATGTATAATACAAATCAGTACTTCAAGTGCAATTTGAGTAAAATATCCTTACGGTGTAGCTATTTTTGCTTTTTTATCCATAATTGTTTATGTTGTTATTTTTTGTAAAGGATAGAGTTTATATGTTTTATTTTTTACCTTTAGTATTATATATATTGTCTATATAGTGACAAGCAAAAAACTGTAAACAAGGTCAATTACTTGCAGGTTAATTCTCTTCTTTTTACTCTTTTCTTAAGGGCCTTGCTGTCCTTTTGCTGCTGTAGTACTGAGAATTTCCCTGATGTGGGACTAATAAAGGATTATCTTATCTCTCTAATTCTCTGTACACACACTAGCCACTTTATTAGGAATTTGAAATATTTAATATTTAAATAATGGGTAGGATCACCACCTTTTCTCTCAGAGCAGCCTGAAGTCTTCATGGCATGGATTCACCAAGGTTCTGTAAACATTCCTTAAAGATCATCATTGAAAGATCATTGACATGATTGCGCCATATAACTGTAGCAGATTTGTCAGCTGCACATTCATGCTGTGAATCTACCGTGTCCCAAAGGTTCTGCATTGGATTCAGGTGAATGGGAGGGCCACTGAAGTGCACCAAACTCATTGTCTATTTATGGAACCAGTTTAAGATAACTTTTACTTTATGATAAGGTGCATTATCATGCTGGAATTAGCCATTAGAACATGGTAAAATGTGGCCATAAAGGGATGCACATGGTCAGCAACAATACAGATAAGTGGTGGCATTCAAACAATGCTTGATTTGTATAAGGAGGCCCAATAAGTGCCACTAAAACATTCCCGACATGAATACACCACCAGTACCAGCTTGAACTGATGATACAAGGCAGGTTGAGTCCATGGATTCCTGCCGTTTATGCCAAATTCTGGTCCTACCATCTGAAACTGAGAATCATCAGATCAGGTAATGTTTTTCCCGTCTTCAGCTGTCCAATGTCGGTGAGCCTGTGCTCACTTTAGTCTTAGATTCCTGGCTGATGGGAGTGAAACCCATGTGGTCCTCTGCTGTTGTAGCCCATCCACCTTGTGTGTTTAAAGATGCTAACTCTCTGAGTTAGTGTAGTCTTGCTGTCAGCTCAAACAAGTCTGGCCAGTCTCCTCTAACCTCTTTCATAAACAAGATTGTCCACTCATAGAACATCTGCTCAGTGGATGTTCTATGAGTGGATGTGTTTTGTTTTTCATATAAGGGTCATTCTACAGAAACATCCATTTTCGTGTCCGTAGCATTCACAGATATATTACACTTAAAAAACATGTTAGGGTTACAATTTCTTTTACATTTTCAAATAAAACAATTTTAACAGTCACACCGTCTTCAGCCATCAATTTAGCAATATTGGTTTTTAAACCAATCATATAGAATTCCAAGCACCACAGAAGAGCTCATCCCCACAGTCATGTGTGAAGGCTGAGGCCATATTTTGAAGAAAAAAACACATTTTTCTGCAATTTTAACTGCAATAATCTATACATGACTATGAAATATATTTAAATGACATAAAGAAAACAAATACCAAATAAATATTATAAAACATATAATGAAAGTTCTGGTCCCCAGGAGTCGTGTCACTGGTGTTACCGCGTAACCAAAAATGTCTTATTTTGATAAAAAGTCACACTGATGACATCACTTGACTTCCTTTCACCTGTTTTCTGAGGATCTATGAAGAAAAGCTCATGGTGAGTCCACTGTGTCTTTCAGTTATCAGAGATTTTCTCATTCAGCTCATGATTTCATACGAAGCTTTTAGCTGAAGTCACTGGTGTGACCGACTTTATTCTGAGGTAACTGTGAAAAAATAGAATACAAATGGATTAAATTACATATTTTAGTGGATATTCCATGATTGACAACATGTGGTTTGATGCTCTGTAGCAGTTATTTTGTAAAATGTGTAACACCAATGAGGATCAGTAACACCAGTGACTCCTATGGACAGACAGAAAAGTGGACGTTTCTGTAGAATGACCCATAATTCCATGTAAACCCTAGTTACTGTTCAATCTCAGGAGATTCTGAACTACTCAAATCTCCCTGTCTGGCACCACCAACAGTGCTACAATGGTCAAAGTCATGTAGGTCACTCCCTCTCCCCACCCCCTCACCATTCTTGACTCATGTCTGCATTTTGCTGTTGCCACGACTGGCTGTTTGGATAACTGCACAACTAAGCAGGTGTATGGGTGATCCTAATAAAGTGGCAGTCCCATCACACTCCTAACAGAATAGCCGCGAATGCAGGAGATGAAGATGGAGAATTTAAAGGGTCAAAATTCAAGATTCATTTCAACTCTTAAGTCAAGAATTATCCACTAAACTTGATTTATTTAAAGGTTCAGTTTTGTGCTTAAGTGTGATCAAAGACTGCTGAGCAGTGTCCATCCAGATCTGGAAAATAAGATCCTGAAGGACTTCAGGATTCACAGAGGTAAACAAGTAATACAGAACCAACCATAACACAGAGGTAAAAGCAGAAAACAGCAGTGGTGTCAAATAAGGCAGCCCAAAACAGTGGTAAAATAAGGAAAGAATATAAAGAAACAAAAAACATGATACTCCCATTGTTTATAAGAGCACTCAGGGCCATCATGGACCAGTGGCTCCAACGGATCCTGATCTCAGTCCAGAAGAGCACAACTTTAAGACCACCAAATATACTACACTGCACCCTCAAACGCCCAGACCTGTTCTTGGTGTTTAGCAAGTAAATCTTACAAACAAAACATAAAAGTAAAAATTCCTGATTTATCTGAGTTTTTAGGAACCTCCACAATTTACATTTACTGTTTAACTAGGGCGAAAATGTGGCGTGTCAAAAGCACCAAACTCTGTTAATCATCTATTAAGATGGAAAACGTTAAAGAAACACAAATGAAAGGAGACATTTTTTTTAATGCAATGGCTAAAGCACAGTTACACATCTCATCAGTACTACCAGGACAGTAATTAAGACACATGAAAAGGGTAAAGTTTAAAACAACTTGAGGGAAACAACTGAAGAATTTGATTCTTTATTATTATTAAACAACTGAAGAATTTTATTCCTTATTATTATTATACAACTGATGAATTTTATTATAATTCTGTAAAAGGCTGAACCTGGCCCTTAAAAGATTCATGTCAGAACAGAGGTGAATTACTGGTTGTATCCTTGGAGCACCCAATCTCCAAAACTACAGTAAGATGCCATCTGCACACCAACCACATGTGTAAAAGGTTTACAAAAAAGTTTATATGATCATGCAGTTTGACATCTCACTGATAAATGGGTTGAGACGATGCGCCTTTTGGCTGCAAACTCAAGAAGTAGGCCTACATTTAGCCACATCTGTACATGGGTGGTTCTTTGGAGAACCATTTTTCTGAATATGTGACAGTGAATAACCCTTTTAAAGACCCTACGCATAAAGTAAAGGTTCTAAAAGTAACCCTTAAACTAACCTTTTCTGAAGAGTGCAGGTTCTTCCCCCAGGCTGTGAGGATCCCCCTTCATTCACAGCCCTTCTCAACAAACACTGTTCAAATCTCACGCCCACCTCTTTATCACGACAGCCTCTTTTTCAAGAACGTCAACATCACCCAACGACTACTGATTGGATTCCTGGTACAATATGTTAGCATGCTGCTATTTATGCTGTAAACTGGTTTACCCTTCACTTGCATGATGCTAATACTGCTCATACAGTTTATATAATGCTGCAATATTTACACAACTCATGTTTTTACACATCTCACTGTGTGGCTCATTCTGTCTTGTCCTGCATTCTTTTTTACTGTGTTACACTTACTGTAAGGTTTTGAGCCCAGTTTTGCACTATTGCGTCTTTATTGTACAGTAAGTTGGTCTTGTTTAGCTGCACTTTGTGTAGCCCACCTTGTTCACTTGTATTGCATGGTCCTGTAAACACAGGTTACATGTTAACACATCCTCTACAGAGAACACAGAGAAACTGTGCACTGAAACTTGCAGAAAAACATCACATTGAAGTTTGTTCTCTGTAAAGGATGCCTTATTTTTACCTAGAAAACCAACAAAACATTATTTTACTGGGAGTGTTTAAACTTTTGCTTATGGCTGTATGTTGCACAGAGGCCCCGGAGGAACGTTGTTCTTCTTGATCTTGATTCTCAACGTGATATGAAATGTGCTGTCATAATTTTTCTGGGTTTGTTTGGCAGGCAGCCTCTTGTATCAGCGCTTTAATCTCGGCAGTCGACTCTGTGTGACATCTGTTCTTGCAGGACCTCTTCTACCCTCCCAGTCACGCCGCACAGTCCCCTGAACTCTAACAGGAGCAGGACAGAATGTTTAGGATTAACTGTGTTAACGCTAAAACACCACCAAACATAAACAGCACTGTCAGAGATATTCGTTTCCTGAAGTTCCAGTGAAAGTAAAAGTTATTAATTTTCAAGGAAACATTTTTGACTATCATCCTGTATAAGGAAGGAAAAATAAGTGAAAAACAGCAATATATAAATAAACACAATTTTAAGTTTAGAGAAAATGGAGGACCTAACAACTATGCAAGATCTGGTAGAGCACCAAAACTATCATCACGTAAAGACGAAATATTAAAGCTTTCATTTTTGAGAAATAGAAGAAAATCGAGCTCCACTCGTTTCAGATCTGAGAACATCCACAGGTGTTTCTGTCCATCCTTCCACTGAGAGAAGACAACTCAGCCCCGTGGGTCTGAAAGATTGTGCAGCTGTGAAGAAGCCGTTACTCAGAATGAAATTAGACAAAAAAGAAGAAGAAAATGTGCAAATCAAACAAAGACGCTGCTGGTGTTCTCTGAACAACGGACTGACCACCCCAGAGTCCAGACCTCAACATCATCAAATGTGTTTGGAATTCGGTGGATTTTGAGAAACAGAAAGTGCAGCAAACGTCTAAGACTGAACTTTGAAGGTGTGGAAAAATATTTCTGTAGATTTCTTTGAAAAAGTGAAAGCAAGACTCCTGAAAAGAATAGTCTCCCACAAAGAAAAGCAAAAGATGGACACACTAAATACTGAAACGTGATATTGCGTTTAGTTGTTGAGGCTTCTGTGTGATTTTCAGTTAAATATGTTTTCTACTTTTGCTCCCTGACGCTGAATCTTAATAACTTGTACTTAGTGGCCTTTTTGACTGGAAAGTAAATAAAGGGTGGTCTCTGACTTTTGTACAGCACTGTACATTTCTTCAGATAGGGTATCTAAACCATGGTCTGTGGAGCATGACCAGTGCCCTCTATCAGCACACTCAAACAGTTTGCATTGAGTATCAAAAACATATTCAAGGCAGCACGAAGCACTGATATTTTAGCAATATATATGATAGCTAATGACCATTATATACATGACAAAATATCCATAAAGTAGTGGCGTCCCTGTTGCCATGTAATTTGTTGCCAGGACAGTTAACTGCAGCATAGAGAAGTAGAACGGGTTCATTAACCAATATGGAACAGTTAGTTCCGGCCACACAAGCTGATTGGTTGAGAAGCGTTCTAACTGTGCTGTTTTTTCACCATAACATCACGTTTTTTTCACGAACACTGTATCACTCCACTGAGACGCCGCTGCTGAGCAACGACTTTGACAGCTGGAGGAGACGCTCAAGACATTTGAACATTTTTACTTCTTACTTTGCCACAAACAGAAAATGGACACTTTTAAGATCACATTTGACCGACAGCCGATTTGGTCAGACTCTGAAGATGAGACGACACTAAATTCCCAAACTGTCATCACCACTGAGCAGCTTTTCAGTCGGCAGCTGTGACAGAAGGACAGCTAAACAACCTGGAATCAGCCAGAAATGAACCCAACACCATTCGCCAAACTAAATGGTCTGTAAGATGCTTTACAGACTGGCTGGAACAAAACAACATTAATACTGATCTGGCAAAAACTGACAAAACTGAGCTGAACTTGATATTGCGTCAGTTTTATGGCTCAGTCTGATTTGGTCAGACTCTGAAGATCAGGCTACATGTTTGGCGAATGGTATTGGGTTAATTTCTGGCTGATTCCAGGTTGTTCAGCTGTTCTTCTGTCACAGCTGCCGACTGAAAAGCTGCTCAGTGGTGATGACAGTTTGGGAGTTTAGTGTGAGGAGCTGGAGAACGAACTGCCCGCTGTGCAGCGAGTGGGCGGAGCTCGTTACTCTGACGTAGCAACAAGCTGCTCGTTAAGGAACTATAATTTGGTGAAGGAACTGCGAACATTAAAACATATTAAACGCCGCGTTCACGGCCCAGTTTATTAATTTATTACTTTATTTATTTAACTGTGGTATTAAAGCAATAGAACACTCGAGGAGTGTGTTATCGCCAATAACATCACGTTATTCGCGATAACACACTCCGTTCCATGTTTTATTGCTTAATTAACAATAACTTATTAACTTTATTAAAGATAAATATCACTGACACCATGATGCTATAATATGTTTGGGAAATAATATGATAATATTGCTATATTGATAATATCAATCATGCCCAGAACTTATGTATAGAACTGATGCATAGAAAGGTTTCCAGGAAAATAAAATCAAATACAGCAAAATACCCAGTAATAAAATCAGACACTGACTGTAATACAATAGTCATTTATCATCTTTTTATAATCCACCATGAAAAGCATTTCTACCATGTACATCAAATCTACTGAACTCTTTTTGTCAAAACATGAAGACTGATATTAAATTTCTGTCTACCTAAACGAAACATGCTCTGATGACAGTCCACCTGCGCAACTTCGGATGGATTACCCAATGAAATATCATTTCAGGCATGTCAAAATTATTATTAGGGTCTTGTTTTCAGAAAAGTAAGTGTAATTCTTTTTAGGAAAGCATGGAGCCACTCAGTTACTCTCAGATCACATGTTTGGAGTATTACCTCTTCTCTGGACTCTGCGCAGCTTTTTGAGGCTGAGCCAAGTGCTGCTTTCTGGTCAGATCAAAGGCAGAGGACACCTGAGGATGTACAATTAATAACATCACTTCATTTTCAAAGATGTAGAAGAATCTACAGTACATCTGCAGTAGCAAACAAACATTTGGAATTGCTCATCATTTTAATAATCGCTGTTATTTTACTCAATAATAACTCATACAGTATACAGTGCAGACAGTGTGGACTGAAATACTATATCATATTTCAAGATGTTTTAAAATTGTTTTTTTTTTTGGATCACCAGATAATTGGACACAATATAAACAACATCTGGCATTTTCAAAATTGTTAAAAAGAAAAAAAAATCAGATGAAAGAATGAGATTTTGTTCTGACAGCAATGATGCACTGTATTTATCGATTTATAGTAATTTCCTGATCATTCTCAATATTTCACAGCTTTCTCTGTCATTATTAGATCATCTGCAGCTGTTCATCATTCATGTATTTTTTTTTTTAACAGCTTCTGACTAATTAGTTAAAATCAAACTATACTAGTCCCATTGCCTATCCTTTACATCACTCACGGATTGTTTGTGTCCTGTTTATATTTATTTTTGAGTTTTTATTATTAGATTTTGTTTTATATCTGCATCAAGATGTCCTTGTACATCTGATACCTGGCAAAATATTCTGACTGATTCTATGTTGTTCTATTCTAAGTTGTAGAGTATTAGTATCATATTAGAATCATTTCATACATCTGCAATATTTTATTTTATTTAAAAAAGGAATATCCCTAACTTTTAATTTGTGATTCCAGGCTAATGTGTGTACACTGCTGAGCCAAAACATTTTCACCCCCTGCCGAATACGCTGTTGGTTCTCTGTATGCTGCCAAAACAGCTTCGACCTGTAAAGGCATGGACCTCTAAAGGTCTGTGAGGTGGAGCCGCCGCAGATCAAACTTGTTGTTTCAAAACATCCCACAGATACTCGGACGGCTTGAGATCTGGGGAATTTGGAGGCCAGGGCAACACCCTGAACTCTTCATCTTGTTCCTCAAACTATACTGTATATATATATATATATATATATATATAAACAATGTGTACAGCATGGCATTGTGGTGAAGGGATGTACCCAGTCCGCAACAACGTTTAGGTAGGTGGCACATGTCAAATTCACATTCGCATGAATGCCAGGACCCAGGCCTTCCCAGCAGAACATTACCCAGAGCATCACACTCCCTCCACTGGCTTGTCTTCTTCCCAAATTGCATCCTGGTTCCATCACTTCACCAGCTCACTCACTTTAAACAGCACACACGTGCCCAGCTGTCCATGTGATGTAAAAGAAAACAGGACAAAAAGATCTTCTTCCACTGCTCCAAGGTCCAGTTTTTGCCCATTGTAGAGGCTTTCGATGGTGGACAGCATGGTTAGCATGGGCACTCTGATCAGTCTAACACAGTCCTCCCATAACCATCATTATAAAACGGATAATTCCGGTCCTAAACTCTGATTGGCTGAGCTGCGTTCAAAGCTGTTGTAAAATCCACGATTACATCTATGACGCTTCACAACAACGGGACTCTGTATCACTGCGCCACAGCACGAAAAATCCTTCTGCTGTTAATGAATAATCTTTTACTCTCATGCTGCTCGCATGGAGCACCGAGTGTACTGATGAAGTAAGAACCCGTTTTTTGTTTAAACTGATGGGCTGACAACTTATGTTCTTATCTAGAACTAGGCTGGTCAGCTAGCTAACAGGCTAAAAGAGCCAACAGCCTAAACAGCTCCATCATTAATATCACAGGCTTGAATTAAAGCACTTACGGTCTGATTAACTGTAAAACTGCAGTATAAAAGTCTAAAAAATATCACTTGAATGTTTTACACACTTCAAATGTCCATATTTCAGTCAGAAGTCGTCAAACCCAGACTGAATCACAAACGGCTCTGTACTCCCTAAATAGTGTGGTGACTATGAAAGTTTATAAATTCTAGCCTCTACAGCCAAACAGTGCATCATTTATGGAGTGTGGTGTGTCTGAGTCCCAAATGACTGTTTCTTAGCTGTATTTTGCTCTGTTGGGCTTCAGGATCCAGTATTTAAACTCCTATGTAGTGCACTATGTAGGAAGCAGGGAGCTGTTTGAGATTCAGCCCCAGCGTGAGAAGAGGGCGCCGCTGGATTGGTGCTAAGTAAGACTCACGGTGGTAATTTGGTGACCAAAAAGTACTTATAAAGTGACAAGTAAGTTTACATTAAACAGTGCTGTCTTATCATATGCTCATTGTTATACGACAAAAAGTAAAAAAAGTATCATGAAATGGCCGCAAAATACAGCGATGGGCAACCAAACGTTCTCCTTGTTCAGCGGTTGCTTGGTAACGATACCATACTCTAAAGGAACTACATTTGTTGGTGGAATACTTGTTGATGTCGGTTATTATTATTATTAATAAATTGTTTTCTGAAAAAGTGTGAATTTAATCATATTTCATGTTGGCTGGCGTTTTATAAAAGCAATAAGCTACTTGAGGCTGTGCGTCACTGTGATTTTATCACAGGGAAGGGAACACCTTATTGCTTTATTAAACATTGCTTTAAAGTCACATTTCTGTGACTTGTGCCTGCAGATTGTTGTGACTTGTGCCACAGTAGCCCTTCTGGGATATGATAGCCTTTGTTGTCCTTGTGCATAGATGAGCCCTAGACGCCCAACACCCTGTCGCCAGTTTGTGGTTAGTCCTCCTTGGACCACTGCTGGTAGGTACTCACCACCTCTGACCAGGAACACCCCACAAGCCTTGCTGTTTTGGAGATGCTCTCAGTCGTCTGGCCATGACGACTTGACCCTTGTCAAAGTCATTCAGGTCTTCTGTCCCATTTTTTCCACATCCAGCACATCGACTACAAGAACCAACTGTTTGCTTACTATCTCATAAATCCCAGACCTGACAAGTGTCGCTGTCATGAGATAATCAGCATTATTTGCTTGATCTGTTAGTAGTCCGAATGTTTTGGCTCACTGATGTACAGTACACTAAAGAAACTCTCATTAACATTCTGTGCATCATCTCATAGTGTGCCTCTGCACTGCGTTAGTGTATTCTAAATCCTGACTACAGTGCACACAAACCTGATAATGTAACAAACCACTAAACTCACCTTTGCAATCTCTGAAAGATAAACCCGTCTCTCATCATAGGCCTTCTGGTACGCCTAACGCAAATGGAAACAAGAACAGCCATTGCACATCACGGAGGTCTTCCTTCATCCTTCATGTTACACTGAGCGAGGCTGGGTTATTACACTTAATCCTCCATTTCTCTCCAGTTAAAGACGGCCAGGATCAGTGTAAGATAATTGCCATCGTGTCTCAGGGGAGACCGAGCAGTCCCAGTCACCTCATTCAATCCACCGCCTCAATGAAAATAATATGCCTCGGTAAGGAATGTGCTACAGACACAGTAAGATAATAAGCTTAAAACTCACGTCCACACACGTGCGGTACTGTGTTCAAACTCAGTATTTGTTTTAAGCATTGCTTTCTAAAGATTAGGCTTTGGATCTTGGTTTGGGTATTAGGAGTTTTAGGATTAGAATAGGGTTTAAGCATATCGCTGTTGTCAGAAGAAAACCTCATATCTCAGTTTTTGACGTTTTCCAATTTTTGACATAGTTTGAAAATGCCTGTTACCCTTTACACTGTGTGTAAATTTCATGATGAATGGACCAAAAGAAACGACCCAAAATGACTTGGAAAAAACTCTGATTCCATTGACTTACATTAAAAGTAAAGTAGGTTTTTTCCGTCTCCTGTAAAGTTACCATTTTGGAGATACGAGGTTTTCTTCCGACAGCAGCGTTATGTTTCTTTACAAATTGTAAGAGCAAGAAAAAGCAAGAAAACACCTTTCCCTCCTGCTCAATCCTCAGGCGACATTCTAGCAGTTGGCTCTGAAGGCTCGTCTTCTCTGTGCTCAGAAGTTGGAGTCTGTGTGTTAAAGCATCCTGAGAAAATCAATGAACAAAATTTGCTACCCTCACAAGGCGAATGAGATTTTTGTCCCAACTGTAGGCAGGGATGGATAATCATATCATAATCATCACTGGAATCAGCAGATAAATGATCAGATGTTTAGACTGAACAGATATTGCATTCGATATTTGATAATGTTTTGTACTCCAGAAGAGCAGAACGTTTATGTTGTATTGTGTAATGCTGATCCAGGTAAATGTAGTCCCAATTTCTACAATGCTGCATGCTAGTTTGAACGTCCCTGATAAAATGACATATTTTGTCATTTTTCCAAGTGACAATAAGTTAAAATATCCTTTGCATGGAAACATTCTTTTAATGCACAATTTCAGCAAATAAATAGAAACATTTTTTGGAAAAAAACAAAAAATTAAATATAAAATGTGCCATAACTTTAGCACAGTTCATAATTTTGACATAATTTGAAAATGCCTGTTATCCTTTACATTGTGTGTAAATTTCATGATGAATGGACTAAAAGAAACGACCCAAAATGACTTGGAAAAAGGTCTGGTTCCATTGACTTACATTAAAAGTAAAGTATGTTTTTTCCTTCTCCTGTAAAGTTACCATTTTGGAGATACTAGGTTTTCTTCCAACAACAGTGATATACTGGTATTATACAGTTATACAGTATATAGTTGGTAATATACACTGTCAGAAATAAAGGTTCTGTGCAGGTACATTTTCCATTCATTAAGGTACAAACAAAGTACATCTACCCTCATAAGTACAGCAATAGTTTTAAGGTCTGATTGTGAAACATAAATAAGTGTTTCCAGGTGAAAAGTTCGTATTTGTACCTTTTCATAACCGAATGTTTTAAACAGAACAGTAAAATAAAAGCCTGGAGACGAGACAGGGTGTGTGGAGTCAGTACAGCTTAGAACATATCATTTCAGTACATAATGGTACTATTATATTCCCTAACTAAAGGTACTGAAGATGTACCCTTGAGGGTCCCACCCCAGTGACAGTTTTGTACTTTTTTTTCTGAAAGTGCAGTTGGAACACAGCATTAGTGAATCTAAGCCTGGACAATTCATTCGACTGACACTCACATTAAACCCTCACCTTTAAGACACACTATTAAAGATTTGATAACTTCTTTAAGGACTTGCAGTCATGCAAAAAAAAATCAAGTGGACATTCACATCTCTTCTTACTGCGCATGATGAAATACAAGAGAGGCTGCAGCAACATGGCATCACAGTGAAGCCGTGCTCAGCAATCTGTGACTCTAATCCTGCTTTTCTGCTCATCTCCCTCTTGCTCAGTGGCTCGAGTAACCCTGGACATGTTCACACTTTAGACCAATCTATTCATCATTCTGTCCTCTTGGGCTCTCGCTCAGCCCTTCATTAGGAATTAGGCTGTGAGCCCCCTCCTCCTCCCCCTCCCCTCATCAGCTGATTGCTGCTCACTGATTAAACATTTTTCAGCAGGATGATTTTAATCTGCTCATGGCAAAAGCAGGCTAGAACAATTTTAAAGGGGAAGTCCACAGCACAACAATGGACAAGGATGATGCGCCCCAGAGGCTGTGCTATGCAAATGCAGGATATGAGAAAAGAGGGCTTTTCATGGGGATGCAACACGGATATAAGGGTAGTAGTAACAGAGAACTTCTAGAGGGGAGAATTACCACTCTGTAATGTCTTCCAGGTTTCTCAAACACTAGAGGGCGCTCCTGAGCAAGTCCAAAATGAATGGGTTGATATGGAGCAAAATCATAGTTTATAAATGCTTAAACATTTTAATATAAAAGAATACATTCCTAGGAAGAGGCCAGGCTCCTCATAAACCGGCTCTGGGAGTAAACTAATGTGGGCAGTAATCTGGGAAGTCGTCTAATTTAGCAGCCTTAAATGTGACTGTGCAGTTTTTTCCTCACTCACCACAGTCATTTGATCATATGACCGAATGGAAGCCAGTCGATCTGAAAAGAAATACATCAAGCTTAAAGGTAACATTCTGACCTCATTAAGACAGACTAATGCAACACTTGGGTGCTCCTGCCGCCCTTGGATTTAGAAAATTATTCTAAAACAATTTTGATACCAAACAGACATTCCTTATTATATCTAGCAGCATGCCTTTCAGATAACAGAAAAAATATTTATTACATTTTTACAATATATTAAACATACAAACCTCAATTCCAAATGTTGAGATAGTATATGAAATTATAGATTTTGGTGCATATTGTGTATATATTTAATAATTAATGTGTGTATGTGTGTATATGTATGTGTATATATATATATATATATATATATATATATATATATATATATACACACACACATATATACAGTTTCTTTTTTTATATATTTTTTGTATATTTAAGTACTGAGTACAGCGACACCCGACATGCTCAATCGAGTATGGGATGAATTTGACTATGGCGTTTATGTTGACCGTACAGCTGGAGGAGGTTCGGACTGAGCACTTACTACAATTACATAATAAACTTTATACCCCATTAAACCATTTACAGTTTACTGCATTGTTCTGTAATGATTTACAAGTGAAATCATTTTGAAATCGGATGAATCTTTTTGAATCACCCTGTATAGTGAAAACAGTGCAAAAAATGTTTTTCCTTATGAACTTAATTTTTTTTTGTATGCTCATTCCAAATTTGATGCCATGTTTCAAAAACGTTGGGACATGAGCATGTTTACCACTGTTTTACATGACCTCTTCTTTTAACAGCAATTAAAACTTGTCTGTGGAGTGATCCAGTTTTGAAAGCAAAATACCGTTCTTTTCTTATACAAGGTCACTTTCGTTGTCATATTTTATGCTTCATAATGCACCACATTTTCAATGAAAGACAGCTCTGGACTGCAGGCAGGCCAGTATCTCACCCACAGTCTCAGATTACACAGCCATGCTGTTGTACCAGGTGCAGAATGTGGCTTGTTGAAATAAGCATAGATGTCCTTGAAATGAAAAAGATATTGAGCCTCACTTAAACTGCTGGATTATCCCTACTTAGATTTTCAACCAACTTTTTGGAACATGTTACAAATATCAATTTCATAATTAATGTATAGTTACAAAAAGCAATGAAGCTCTGCACAATATTCTTTGTCTTTGTACTGCTTTTGTTTAAATACAGGTAAACATGGATTTACAAAGCATCTGCATTTCATGTACTGTCCCTTTTTTGGAATTGAGGTGTGTAAAATATGCTCGTACTGTACTCACATTGCTGTAGCTGTACAGTTACATTCAATAAAAAAATCTACAAACACAAGCCATGTGTGAAGAGTCAACACCTGATGGCAAATGGATATTTCACAATGCTCTGTACCTGTGGGATTTCCACGAAGGCCTTCAAGTCTCTCCTGCACAACCCCAATTTGCCTCTCCAGCTGCCCGTTCAGCTCCAGCTGGGTCTCATATCTGGTTCTCCATTCATTCCCTGAGGAGTGCAGAAACCAAGGCCTTACACACTGATCCACAGCCAGCTCACAGCTCACTGTACCCAACCTCCACTTCAGACACTATACATACACCCACCCCACACACACATATATATATCTGTCTGTGTGATGTTTGTGTAGATATGGCCGTGTGGTTGGTGAAGCACAGAGAACCTGTTGATGTGATTGTTTTTGCTCTGGTTTTATATTAAGCTTATTTCATTTAATAGTCTATTCAGGGGAGCTTAACTTTGTGTTGTAGTTAATTATTTACAATGATGGTTAAAGCTTTTTTTAGCTCGGTAAATTATAGGATCTTGACCGCTCCAAAATGGCGGACGTGCAAACGTATCGCCTCAGATAGAGAACTCGGCATCTACGAATGTGTATCTATGATATATATAAACACTGGAACTGACTTCGGACCAGCAGCCAATGGCAGCCCTTCTACTATCTCAGTAAAGGCCAAACAGGTTCATCCTAAATCATTTATCATACCTGAAGGGGTTTCTAAGGTCAAAACAAACGGGAACGGGAAATGTGCAGTTATTTTAATCTGCGTTACCTTCTCCCTCCACACCGTGCAGTCGCTGTTCCAAATCAGCCAAAGTGCTTCTCAGGTCAGAGACAGAATCTTCCAGCATCTCTCTTTAAGGGATGCAGCCCATTCAGACGAAGAGCGGTGAAAAAAGTAGCATTTAAGTAGAATAAACTAGAATTATCTACACAGTTATTGAGCTGATAGTCATACTTACTTGACTTCTTTCTCATGATCGAGTTCCGCCTGAAGTCGAGCTAAATCATAACTGCCTTTGTCACCGTCTCCCATGATCTGAAAGTTAGGCGAGCAACTCTGAACTCTGAACGCGGTGTGAATCGCAGTGTTACGCTGTAACCATTGGAAACGTCAGTCTACCCGCGCGCGTTCTTTGTTTTCCACCCGTATTCAGACAAGCCCCGCCCCCGGTCACGACTGAACAGAGGCTCATTCAAGCTGAACTGTAGCCGATGCCACACTATGCGCTATGTGATGCACATTCAAAGGGGATTTCACTGATTTTTTACTGCATTAATCAATAGTCGAGATGTAAACAAAGTAATTGTGAGTGTAAAACAGCGCATTGTAGACAAACGTATATGTATATATACGTGTAAGTATCAAATATTGGGCATATATGTACAGTATATGCATCATACATGTACGTCTGATGGGTGGGTTAACACGTATGTGTAATATATATATATATATATATATATATATCTATATATATATATCGCTGCTGTGGGAAGAAAACCTGTAGCTCCATTTTTTTTGTATCAAATATGGACATATATATATATATATATATAGTATATATATATATATATATATACACACACACATATATATATATATATATATATATATATGTAGGTGGGTTAACACCTATGTGTAATATATGGATCAGACATATACTGTAAGTCTGATACATCAGAAACTCAATGAAAGAAAAACCAGAAGCATTGACTCAGTGACTCAAAAAAATTACACATGAAGCTAGTATACATGAGTAATATATGCCACGTATATATAATGTTCTCTACCACGTATTTTACATGTATGTTACATATATATGTTTGTATATGTTGATATACGGCTGAAATATATGCCCCATATTTAAAAATGGCCAATTTCAAACAAGTTAGCTTATATCACATATATGACCATATGTGACAAACATAGGTCGGATATGAGGAAAATCCATGTATGGTAATATATGTCATATCTTCGAAACCGATATTTTGCCATATATCAGATTTCTGTATGGAACCAGAGGTTGAGAAATCTACAACGCAAATATAGAGCCACCTTATTAATTATCCGAATGCAGTGAACCTGTAAATGTTTTTTGAGCTTTTCTTTGTAATGTTGAAAATGGTAAAATAGTGGTAATTCTGAAAAATGACTTTATTGCATTTGTCCTGCATGTCCCTCTCCGACATCAATGGATTCAAATTTTGTATGGTAGCTTTTAGAAACATTACATGCCTCAGTTTCTATTTTGAACTATTATCTTTTTATATTTATAATATTCAAGCACTTATTCTCTAATCATTTTGTGATACAGTGGAATATCCATATTATTTTACAGTACTGTTAGGTGTTACAGTAATAAAAAAATAATCAATTCTCAGAACAAAATGTATTTGGAGTCAATAATATTGAATTATTCAGCTTTGGTTACACTGACAGCATAGAATAAAGATATGAAAATGTATTTTATAAGAATTTTCTCTAAACAATGTATTATTTTGATTAAAAAGTCATTATACATACCGTACACAACAATTTATATAAAGAACAGAATGTAAAACAGATCAGATCTTATTAAAATAGGTCCCAGAAAATCATTCAACTTCACAAGACCTGCTTTCTTATACACAAATAAATTATTAGTATTAGATATTCTTATGTATTAATTCAGATGAGATATTTTGTTAATGACCACATGAGTAGACTTTTAGGTTCTTATGTAAAAATATCTTCTTTAAATGATTCTTGATACATTATATGCAGCACATTTTTGTAATGACCATTAATCCTAGATAAGTAAAGGAACAAATGGCGTGTGATAGAGAGAAGCTTATTTTTTCTCCTGCTCCTTTCCTTTAGCCGTCTTCTCTGGCTCCATGGTCTCGTCCTCTTCAGCTAAGGCTTTTGAGGTCTGCCTGCCTGCACCTTTCAGTACAGCCTTGACGGCAATGTTGTCCATGTTGAAGGCTGTAACACCCACATTGACCACCGATTGGACAGCAGTGTCTGTAGCCTGGCTGGCTTCCTCCCCATACCTTAATCACACACAACCGAGAGCAGGTGAGAGCGGCTGCGGCTTGGACTAGGTAGAGTTAGTAGGACTTAGTGGACGTCGGAGGCACTTTAGAACTGGGTATGCTAACATGAGCACAGAGTTAGTGTGGTGACGGCATTAAACAAAGATCAGAGAGGATCTTTATGAGAAAAGTGCTGTAAGGTTTGTTAAGAAATGAAAGCCAATAGTAGCATAATGTGCCTTATTAAGCTCCAAAACAGAAAGTGATAGCCAAAACCGCATGACACAGTTTACTGTGAACATCACAGAGGGAGAAAACACATTTTCGTATTCATTTTGTGTTTATTGCACATAAATTACAGCAGGGGTGCCTCAATAAAACAGGCACCTGTCGAATAATCATATAATGGCAAAATATACTGCATAATAAGGCACTTAAGACCAAAGAGAGTTAGTCATAGACTCAAGTCTATGGATTATTTTTCCCCACTTAGTGTTTTTACCCTCCACCAGTTAAATGTTGCTAGAGGGGTCCAGGATGCTTTCTAGACCCCTAAATCTGAAAAATCAAGAGGAAAGAGAAAGAAAGAGAGAAAGAACAGATGAAACCGGCAAAAGTGAGGCAAGTGTTCTGTATGACGCACCATTTTGAGAACAGAGAAAAGGATGAAATGAGATTATCAGAGCTTTTGAGAAACTGGCGCCAACAGCATCTGAAAGCCATTCGGAAAAAAAGGAGAATTAACTTAAAATTAAAAAAGCACCTACTTGTGCTTGACAGTAAGCACCGTCTCCGAGCTCGCACTTTTACCAATCGTCTTCGCCGCCGTCTCCAAACCTGACCATATGGTCGACAGACCTGTAAGGAAACAACATACGAATAGGTATGCATGTAACAGAAAATGTCCCGACTATTAGGTATTCGAAATGACACAGGAAGACTGACCTTTTAAGCTAGTAGCAGCCACCACTTTGGCTCCGCCCATGTTGGTGCAGGCATCTTTATTTTTCTTTAAAGACTCCGGGATCAGTTTGCTGCCATGCTTCTTTACGTGAGGCGCTAGCTCCTTCCCAACAAGTTCAACCACAGAGGAGAGGCCGTCAACTGTAACATAACACCCAGTTAAACTAAAGCTCATTGAAAAGTTAGGTAACACTTTCTATGAAATGTCACGTTTGTAAGCATCTATAAACACGTGTATAACATGTTATAATGCATTCATTCAATATATAATATTTTATATTTTTTTATAAAAATGAATTACACTGAATTATACTAATACCATGTTTATTATACATCATGAATTATTAATATAATGCATTATAAGTAGTGTTAATAACATGTTACACTGTCAGTGCCAAAGAAGTCAGTCCCAGCTTGGAAAACATAAAGACAAATACAAAGTTTATTTACTCCCTGAGATTTCCAGTATGTTATTTCTCAGTGCTGGTGCTGTTAGAGCTGCGGGGCTTCAGTCCTGAATATTTAGATGCACCAAACTTGCTGTCCAGCCTAGAGTTACTGCTACAGTGTGCTTTTCTTACCCAGCGCTTTCACTTTAAACACTGCATTACATCACAGCAAACCAAGTACCCATCAGCCCCTCCCCTGAACCCCCTCTGACATCACACTGAGCGTGAAGTCACTGTGGAGTGAAGGCCTGGAGAGGGAGAGGTGAGATAGTAGAGTGCTGTCATTGTTATCTGTTCCCTCACTGGTTCTAATGTCAAGCACTAGAACCCTTCACTCTGTAACATCACTACACTACAGTACAGTAATGCTAATTTCTGCTAGCATTCTATTGGATATGCAGTGTTAAGTTAGCGCTGAGCTAACGGTGGTGTAGATTAACTCTCCCACATTGGGTAAAACACTGATGCAGCACTAGTTTAAACTCTGACATTTGAAGCCTGTAATGTGCTTTATTATGTATGTTTTACTGTTTCAGTAAATCCTTCAGTAAATACTTCAACTTGAAGCCTCACTCTGAACACTGGAGGAGGCTTTAGTACAGTACGCTTCACTTTGCTTAGAGTGGACAAATACGACTTACGAGCTCTTATAATTTGTTATGAACGGTACTTATAATGTATTATGTTAACAATTCATAATGCATAATAAGCATGGCTATAACATGTAATTCATTTTTATAAATATTATACCCATTTTTATGAAGCCTTATGAATGCATTAACATGTTATGAATGTGTTTATAGATGCTTACAAACTTGACATTCATAGAAAGTGTTACCAAAAGTTACAATATGAGAGGCATCAATGTGCCAAAGACATTTAAAAGCATAGCAAAATAAAGCCAACCCCCCCAGAGCTGCTGGGAACTCAAGATGTAATGGCACTAATCTGAGGAAACAACCTTAAAGGTTGATAATGGAATCTTTAACATGTAAACAAAGTCAATCAGAGTGATTTGATGTGAAATGTGCCATTCTTAACGAATCACTGTTCACCGTGGTGGTGATGGGAACCAGATATCTGAAGCATTTAATGCCTCTAAAAGCTCCTTCAAGAAATTATTACAATTTTTTTTATGAATCTGTTTCCTGATGCCTGAAATGTTGTTTTACAACAGCTTAAGGTAAGACTTCGGCCCAAAAATATGTTTTTTAAAATACTCTAATGACGAAGAGGTACATGCATTATGTATTTGAACATGGAAGGCGTGTGTAGGTTCACTGGTCACTTTGATAGGATATAAAAATTATATTCTGCGCATGTGTGAAAACAGACGGCAGTACCGGAAATAAGCGAGCAGCGTAGCCGCGAGATGCAGCAAAACACTGAAACCAAATACATGCTTGAGAAAATGAAGGATTTAAATATTCTTCATCTTCTAGATGATGTATGTTCATATTTTAGGGAAAGTGGAGCAGTGTTTTTTTTTTTAAAAGCCACGGCATGAACTTTGAGTTTTACATTACGTTTACATCTCGTCTTCTTCTGTGAGTTTACTGGCTGGTTGTAAAGCAGAAATCCGATTACTGTCTGACTCATGAAGACCTGGAGTTTCCCCATTATCTGATTATAAAGTGCATGTAAACGCATTGATAATATTACTGACAAAATCTAATTTTCTGCAGTTATCAGATTATAAATGCACTTAATG